GAGCTGGGTGTGTGCAGGCATAGGTTCATTAACATCTGGAGCAGAGATCCCCCATGATGCAGTGCTTCCCTGCTTTTCTGGTCCCAGAGTTCAGTGTGGTTCTCTGTTCTCCATTCTGTATGCTAATGGAGATGTCTTCCTGTCCCATCTTTCTTGTAGATGAGGCTGGAGGAGTTGCCTTTGTTCTTGTCACCCTTGTCAGGAGGGGTCTAGGTGTGTCTCCCAACACCCTTCACTGTGCTCTGCAAGTCTTTTCTCTGATTGGTTTTGGTTCAAGCACAGGCTGGTGGGAGGGGGTGTCTTTCATGAGTCAGACAGGCTGGATACTGGGCCCTGGTTCCCCAAGAACACAGAGCTGACTGGTATCAGGGTTGAACAGTGGAAAGACTCACTAGTTAAAAACAGATGTGTATAGCTTTCCATTAAACACATCTCAAATGGTTGAAGGCTGTCCCCTTCCAAATCACACTCTAACTTTTTTTTACGTTGTCACCTCCATAGAACCATCAACTGAACCAGTAAGGAGTGTAATAAATTCTGATTATATTTAATTTTTATTTTTATTCCCAAGAAGCCACAAGGAAGATGGAAATACAGAGTTAGTGTAAGATACTGAACAGTGAAATTAATTCTGCTGTTGTATATGAAGTAGGGCTGTCTATTAATTGCAGTTAATTCATGCGATTAACTCAAAAAAATTAATTGTGATTAATCACAGTTTTAATTGCACTGTTAAACAATAGAATACCAATTGAAATTTATTAAATATTTTGGATGATTTTCTACATTTTCATATAAAGTGTATATGATTTTTGCTTACAAATATTTGCACTGTATAAATGATAAAATGATTTCAGTTCAGCTCATACAAGTACTGTAGTGCAATCTCTTTGTTGTGAAAGTACAACTTACAAATGTAGATTTTTTTTTTTGTTACATAAGTGCATTCAGAAACAAAACAATGTAAAACTTCAGGGTCTACAACTCTACTCAGTCCTACTTCTTATTCTGCCAATCGCTAAGACAAACAAGTTTGTTTACATTTACAGGAGATAATGCTGCCCTCTTCTTATTTACAATGTCACCAGAAAGTGAGAACAAGCAGTTGCATGGCACTTTTGAAGCTGGCATTGCAAGGTATTTATGTGCCAGATATGCTAAACAATCGTACAGCCCTTCATGCTTCGGCCATCATTCCAGAGGAGATGCTTCCATGCTGATGATGCTCGTTAAAAAAAAATGTGTTAATTAAATTTATGACTGAACTCCTTGGGGGAGAATTGTATGTCCCCTGCTCTGTTCTACCTGCATTCTGCCACATATTTCATGTTATAGTAGTCTCGGATGATGACCCAGCACATGCTGTTCATTTTAAGAACACTTTTGCTGTAGATTTCACAAAACACAAAGAAAGTGAGATTTCTAACTGACCCACAATTTAAGAATCTGAAGTATCTTCCAAAATCTGAGAGGGACGGGGTGTGGAGCATACTTTTAGAAGTCTTAAAAGAGCAGCATTCCGATGCGGAAATTACAGAACCCGAACCACCAATAAAGAAAATCATCCTTCTTCTGGTGGCCTCGGACTCAGGTGATGAAAATGAACATGCGTCGATCCACACTGCTTTGGATTGTTGTTGAACAGATCCTGTCATCAGCATGGACGCATGTCTTCTGGAATGGTGGTTGAAGTATGAAGGGACATGAATCTTTAGCGCATCTGGCACGTAAATATCTTGCAACACCGGCTACAACAGTGCCATACAAACACCTGTTCTCACTTTCAGGTGACATTGTAAACAAGAAGCGGGCAGCATTATCTCCTTCAAATGTAAACAAACTTGTTTGTCTGAGCAATTGGCTGAACGAGAAAGAGGACTGAGTGGACTTGCAGGCTCTAAAATTTTACATTGTTTTATTTTTGAATGCAGTTTTTTTTACATAATTTTACATTTGTAAGTTTAACTTTCCTGATAAAGAGATTGCACTATAGTACTTGTATTAGGTGAATTGAAAAATACTATTCTTTCTTTTTTTTACAGTGCAAAAGCACAGGGGGAACTTTTACTGCTAAAACAAACTTCAGCACTGAGTGAGTTTAGGCACCTACATGGCTAGCCACAGCTGGGCAGGGGGTTGTGGACTGCAGTGGTTCCTAGATCTGGGATTAAGGCATATAAATCTGGAGGTTAGGTACCTAAATCTCTTTGTGATCTGGGCCTTAATCACTACCAGTTTGAACTGTGCCTATGTTTTTGCCCTGGACATGGGCACTGCTGCCTCACTGTAGGCATCCGGAAGCCTATCTGCTGTCTAAGCCCCAGTGTGATCTGAAGAGAAGTGGAGGAGCACTTGTCTTGTGTGTCTGGCCCGATCTGACCCGATTAATGTTCCCTCTAATTTTTTCCATCCATGTACAGAATAAATTTTGTTATGTGCACCGAAGTATGTGCGGATGTGCACCACCAGTAAAAACAAAAACCTTTAGATATAATACATATTTTTAAAAAGTTACCATAGGGATAATTACTCCAGTCAGGACAGGTTAGGCATTTTAGAACTCACTACTCAAAGAATTAAATTTAAGTGTAAGAGAAATAAAAATGATGAAATGCACAGACCAGTCAAAACACTAAAATAGCATACTTTGAAAGAATTAAATTACAGAGAATATATGTGCATTGTAGGAAGTACCAAGAAGTAACAACAACAATAATACAAGTGTGTGTTGGGAGGTGAGTGTGAAAGAGACTGTGTGTGTGTGTGTGTGTGTGTGTGTGTGTGTGAGTGGAGTGAGAGACACTCTGTGTGTGTGTGTGAGAGAGAGAGAGACACTCTGTGTGTGTGACGCAGAGACTCTGTGTGTGTGTGAGTGAGGCAGAGACCGTGCATGTGCTCGCTGCTGGGGAAGTTTCTGATTGCACTGTCTCTTTAAGACACTCACTGAAAGCTCTCCTGCTCTGTCCTGAGCCCTGTTGTCTCCTCTCCCCTGCTCTGCAGAGATGGGGTACATGAATGGGGTCGGGGAAGAGAGAGGGAGAGTGTGTGTGTGTATGAGAGAGAGACAGAAAGAGATGGCTGCTGGGGAAATCTCAGAAACAGTGCACTGTCTCTTTAAGAAATGTACTCAGTCACTCTCTGTTCACTGCAGCAGCTCCATGTCCTGAATGTCCCCTCTCCCCTGCTCTGAGGAGATGGGGTTACAGGGGCGGTGCAGAGGGGGACACCCTGACATCAGCACCTGCCTCCCTCCCCTCCCCCACACAGCCAGCAGGAGGGTCCTGGGAGGGGAGCAGCTGCAGGACAGAGCAATGTGGCGGGGAGGGGCACCTGAACACATGCTGCTGGATGTGCATGACCTGCAGTGGAATCTCTCCTGGGCAGCTGCCCAAGCACGCAGCTTACAGGGGACATAGGACCCGATGTGTCTGGGTGTGCTCTTAATCATGCCTAATACTACATAAAATGGTACCTAAGCCACCTGACTTCAGGAGAGGGGTTCCTGGTTGTGAATTGCTAAGCAGAGAGAGGCACAAGCTCAGAGGGGTGGGGCTTAGAACACATTTCTCTCATCGATCTCTCCCACTGGCTAGCTTAGGCGGCTCCTTGCCTGGCATAGAGATAAGACTATCTCAGGCGAACAAACTTTGTAGGATATTTATTTTAGAAAGAGTTCTGACTTTAAAAAAAAAAAAAAAAAAAAAAAAGTAAGGATGCTGTATTCAGAATACTTCAGAGAAGTAATGTTCAGGGATATGTTACTAAGAGCCAAAAACTACATCATAAAGTGGGCTTTTTTAAAACCACCCCTCTGTGCAAGGTAAAAACCTTGGTTTCAAACTATCACAAAGGATTCTAGAAAACTTCCTGTTAGTTTAATTTTTTTTATAAATGCTCAAAGTCTTCATCCTTCAACTTTAAGGAAAACATTTACAGTTGGAAAATGTTTTATAGAAGATCTTTCCTGCTTCTAAATTCATGTATCCACGCAAAGGTGAAAATCTTTGTTTATTCCTTAAATGCTTAAGATGGTCAAAACTCTTTTTGTAATGTTTATTGCAAATGTTTTGTAAAGCATCTAATGTAATTTCCTAATATCATTGCTATGCGAATGGAAAGATGTTTATATACAATATAGTAGGGTTATCTAATGCTAGAGCTGGTTATGAAATAAGAAGCTATTTGGGTATAGAATAGTGATATTGGGGAACTAAATAGTATCTGGCAATGCTTAAGCAACTCCTGATGGAAGTCAGAAAGACACAAATCACCTCTTCAAGAATGGTTAAGAAGAGACAGTGTTTTATTGGATGACTGTTTAAATTAAAAGACTTTCTTTAAGAATATTTAAGTTTAAAAATGGTCACATTGAGAGCAAAAAGAGCGCTATATATGACATAAGGGTATTTGGACTCATGTCAAGCAGAACTTCGGCTCCGGTTGAACTCTGGTGGAACTAAAGGCATATGTCAGAAAATGGACTAAATCAGGGAAAGAGGTAAAACTCTAAACTTTAAAAATATACTGAGAATTTCCTGCCACAAAGGCAGTTAGAATCCTGCTGTAAATGCTGCTGCAGATTGCATATATTTCCTGGATGCACAAGCTCAAAATTTCCCCTCCTTACTCCACTGCTGTACAATTAGCTGTATGCTGGCGGGTTGCTGCTAGAGGTGGCTGCATTTCAGGAGCTCTGCACAGAGATAGTTTAGGAAGCTCTTCCGGGACTACTGGTCATGGAAGTTGTAAGCTGTGAAAATATTCACAGCTCCTTTTAGCCAGATAATTTCATATGAACTGTACAGAGAACCTCCAAGTGAATCAGTGCTGGTTGGGGGTGTTTGTTAGGGGCTGAAACCACCTGGGAGAAGCTGATGGGTTCATTAATCCCAGATGATAAATAATACGCAGCAAATCGCCTGGCAGAAATTTTTGTTCCTGTTAAAATGTATTGTGTTATGTACACCTGAAGTTTATATAATTATCTCTCCTCCTTGTAGATGAAGTGAAGAACTCAGAAGAGACTAAATCAGTGAGCCAGCATGACCTTTCCTCCACTCAAGAGAATGCAGGTGTGTGGCCATCACACTCTGGCCAGAGTTAAGTGGGGGAAGTGAGGCACATGACTAATCTAATCGCCTTCTATGATGAGATTACTGGTTCTGTGGATATAATTATCTCTCCTCCTTGTAGATGAAGTGAAGAACTCAGAAGAGACTAAATCAGTGAGCCAGCATGACCTTTCCTCCACTCAAGAGAATGCAGGTGTGTGGCCATCACACTCTGGCCAGAGTTAAGTGGGGGAAGTGAGGCACATGACTAATCTAATCGCCTTCTATGATGAGATTACTGGTTCTGTGGATATAATTATCTCTCCTCCTTGTAGATGAAGTGAAGAACTCAGAAGAGACTAAATCAGTGAGCCAGCATGACCTTTCCTCCACTCAAGAGAATGCAGGTGTGTGGCCATCACACTCTGGCCAGAGTTAAGTGGGGGAAGTGAGGCACATGACTAATCTAATCGCCTTCTATGATGAGATTACTGGTTCTGTGGATGAAGGGAAAGCAGTGGATGTATTGTTTCTTGACTTTAGCAAAGCTTTTGACACGGTCTCCCACAGTATTCTTGTCAGCAAGTTAAGGAAGTATGGGCTGGATGAATGCACTACAAGGTGGGTAGAAAGCTGGCTAGATTGTCGGGCTCAACGGGTAGTTATCAATGGCTCCATGTCTAGTTGGCAGCCGGTATCAAGTGGAGTGCCCCAAGGGTCGGTCCTGGGGCCGGTTTTGTTCAATATCTTCATAAATGATCTGGAGGATGGTGTGGATTGCACTCTCAGCAAATTTGCGGATGATACTAAACTGGGAGGAGTGGTAGATACGCTGGAGGGGAGGGATAGGATACAGAAGGACCTAGACAAATTGGAGGATTGGGCCAAAAGAAATCTGATGAGGTTCAATAAGGATAAGTGCAGGGTCCTGCACTTAGGACGGAAGAACCCAATGCACAGCTACAGACTAGGGACCGAATGGCTAGGCAGCAGTTCTGCGGAAAAGGACCTAGGGGTGACAGTGGACGAGAAGCTGGATATGAGTCAGCAGTGTGCCCTTGTTGCCAAGAAGGCCAATGGCATTTTGGGATGTATAAGTAGGGGCATAGCGAGCAGATCGAGGGACGTGATCGTTCCCCTCTATTCGACATTGGTGAGGCCTCATCTGGAGTACTGTGTCCAGTTTTGGGCCCCACACTTCAGGAAGGATGTGGATAAATTGGAGAGAGTCCAGCGAAGGGCAACAAAAATGATTAGGGGTCTGGAACACATGAGTTATGAGGAGAGGCTGAGGGAGCTGGGATTGTTTAGCCTGCAGAAGAGAAGAATGAGGGGGGATTTGATAGCTGCTTTCAACTACCTGAAAGGGGGTTCCAAAGAGGATGGCTCTAGACTGTTCTCAATGGTATCAGATGACAGAACGAGGAGTAATGGTCTCAAGCTGCAGTGGGGGAGGTTTAGATTGGATATTAGGAAAAACTTTTTCACTAAGAGGGTGGTGAAACACTGGAATGCGTTACCTAGGGAGGTGGTAGAATCTCCTTCCTTAGAGGTTTTTAAGGTCAGGCTTGACAAAGCCCTGGCTGGGATGATTTAACTGGGAATTGGTCCTGCTTCGAGCAGGGGGTTGGACTAGATGACCTTCTGGGGTCCCTTCCAACCCTTATATTCTATGATTCTATGATTCTATGTGCTGCATGGCAATGACTAGCTGCTTGCGCATGGCTGTGAAGTGGCCAGTGGAGTGAAATGGTTGAGAAGTGTTGGGAGGGGATGAGGTGCCCATTGCACACACAGGAAGGTAGGAGAGAGACACTGTCACGGGAGTTGGGGGAAGGAGGGAGGGTCTCTGACTGGAGAGTAGCTTGTTCACAGGGGAAATGAAAGGAAGGGAGCATGAATGTTTCTGATGTAGCTGGAAGTAAGGACTTGGGGTGGGGACTGGAGTCAGATTTCCTGCAAAAAGAGAATCAAGACAATTCTCTGTGTGGCTCTTATAGTACAATTTTAGATCTTCTTTATTCTCCAGCCTGCCTCGGCTTGCCCTCTCTGCTCTGGCGTAATGACTTGGTTACTTGCTGATGTGCTCCTTCTCTGTGCACGCAGGGCACTTGTAGAGCATTACTGCCCTGCCCATCCGCCTGTGTTTTACCGTTCTGTTTGTAATAATCAGCACGTACATCCTCAAACACCATTCAACCATTGCTGCATAAATCCTCGTTGTGCCCCTTTGAGAGTGGGTATTGTTATCTCCTACTTACACCTGGGGAAAACTGAGGCACAGAGAGGTGAAATGGTTTGTGCAAGCCACACAGGACCCGAGTCTCTACTTGCATTGCTGTCAATCAGGAATCACCCTAATGGTGTCAAGTAAGCTACAAGGGTGAAAATGCGTAGACAATCAAGCACGGAGTATTACAGAGGGCATAGAACCTAGGAGTCCTGATTCCCAGTCTTGTGCTCAGAGTACTAGCCTACCCTTCTCTGTCTCAGTCATCTTATGACAAAACCACACTTCCCAGACACAATGTCGGACTAGATGTATGATTGCTGCCCTGCAAATTTCAGGCAAAATGTTAAAATAAGGGTGACTAGAGCAGTGTCTGGTTAAACCCTCTTGTATCTATGCCCCCCCCTCCCCAGACAGGACAGATTCCTATGTCCAGATCCTCAAGGTATTTAGACACTTATTTCAGTGGAAGTTAGGAGCCTAAATACCTTTCAGGACCTGGGCCTTGGTGTTCTCTTGAAGGCTAAGGGGAGACTTAGTTGTTGTGCTGGTCACACTGCAAGAGTCGCAAGGGTTTGGAACAGCTGGCTGGGGGGCACAGCAAGCCCTTAGACCAGAGGTGTGCAAACTATGGTCCAAGAGCCACCTCCGGCTGCAGGACCCTCCTGCTCAGCCCCTGAGCTCCTGGCCTGGGAGGCTAGTCCCTGGCCCCTCCCTGCTGTTCCCCCTCCCCCGCAGCCTCAGTGTGCCATGTGGCCAGCGCAATGCTCTGGGCGTCCGGGCAGCGTGGTTGCAGAGCCGTGGCCTGACCCAGTGCTCTGGGTGGCACGGCTGTAGCACTGTCGGCCACAGGTGCTCCAGGTAGCACAGTAAGGGGGCAGGGGGAAGGGAGGGTTGGACAGAGGGCAGGGGAGTTGGGGGTGGTGGTCGGGGTGGGGCGGTTAGAGGGTGGGGAATAGGGGGTTGAATGGGGGCAGGGGTCCCGGGGAGGGCAGTCAGGAAGGAGGGGGGGTTGGACAGGGCGGCGGTGGGCAGGCAGCGGCAGAGGTTCCAGGGGCGGTCAGGGGACAGGGAGAAGGGGGGGTTGGATGGGGCAGAGGTCCCGGGGAGCAAGTCAGAAATGAGGGGGGGGGTTGATGGGGCGTCAGGGGGCAGTAAGGTGTGGGGGGTCCAGGGGTGGTCAGGGAGCAGGGGGTGGTAGATGGGGCAGGAGTCCCAGGGGAGCAATCAGGGAACAAGGGGGGTTGGATAGGGCAGGAGTCCCAGAGGGAGCTGTCAGGGAGTGTGAGAAGCGGGGGGGTGGGGTGGGGTCGGATAGGAGGCAGGGGCTGGGCCACGCCTGGCTGTCTGGGGAGACACAACTGGCCCTCCATACAATTTTGGAAACCCGATGTGGCCCTCAGGCCAAAATGTTTGCCTGCCCCTGCGCTAGGCCCCCGGCTGGGTACTGTAGTAAGCAACAAGCTCTGGAAAAAGGGGTGAGGGAAAGAGGTGCACTGCTACCTTTTTGGAGTAGCAGTAAGGGGTGCGTTTTAGCACATTATGCTTCAGCTCTCCCATTACCCATCCTTCTCTGTACCCGGGGCACGCCAACTAGCCACTACTCCTCTGTCCCCCCAGTGCTCCTTGGGTAGGTTAGGAAAGAATTTTACCCCCTCTATGATGACTATGAATGGTGTGTGCAATAATTGGTGCTAACTCCAACTCATTTGCATCTTATTTTTCAGATTATGAAAATATCACAAAGGGGAATCAGGAGCCAGGTATGGAAAAGAACACAGGAACGTTTTAGACCCCTGTATGATCACGTCTGGGGAAAGTACGATAGATTGCTAGAGCTGGTCCCCAGCTAAAAGCTCCAAGCATCCCTGAATGTTCAAGACCATACATGTGACGTGTGCGCATAGCACCTCAGGTTATAGCCCTCACTGTTGGCGTGGCGTACAGGGGTTAATGCTGTCTGATTGGGGGGGCATGTCAAAGGTGCTGAATGGCCCTAGATGTTAGAGTTCTAGATGGCAGATGAGCACAAATATCCATATAAGGACTGGGATTGGTTGGCAGGACTTGTGGTAGCAAATCAGTGGTTGTAGATCAAATGGTTAATGTGTCTAATTATCCTTGGCTACTCAGGTTCCAATTCCAGATTAAATCATGAATCAGGGATGGAATTCACAGCTCCCCAGCGCTCGAAGCCTGTCCACACTAGCGCTTTAAAGCGCTCAGACTTGCTGCATCTCCACTAGTAGGATTTGCCAATATTGATAGATAGATCTGTGTAGCTATGCTAGCAAGCCCTTTCTAGTGTATATAAGGGGGAGATGTAAGTCCAAAAAACCTGAGTGAATGGTTTTGGGGAGGGCTATTATTTCACAGAGTATTTGTATTAACACTAGGTTTTGTAATAGCTACAACTAAAGCCTAAATATGAGCTCTAAACAGCCTGACAGTGTCCCAGAAGGTGTTACTCTACCCTTACTCAGGTGAGCGCCCATTGACTCTGTCTCAGTAAGACCTGAGTAAAAATCTGAATAAGTTAATCAGTATTTAGCCCTTGAGTAGTATTTATATAGCACCATATAGATACATGGGGCTCTGCTGCAAGGAGCTTGCAATCCATTTTCAACAGAAACAGTGCAAACAATTAAAGTTCAGGTACTAGATGGGAACAGTCTGGGTGTGGATCAAAACCCTGGTTTTAAACTTTAAACTGAGGTTTAAAGAGTATTGCTGAGTTCATACTAGAGGGTTGCGCTGTTTTTATTGTATTGGTCTAGTTAAAGTGGTTGTGTGTGTGTACAAGTCTTGAGTACTGTGGTATATTTTTATAAGGGTTTCTCCCTTCGCATGACATTGATAGTACATTAAAGATTCCTAGGCTCCACAGGAATCTGGGTGGAGGGGCTATCAGAAATATGCAGAGTTTTCTCTTCTATTTAATACCAGCCCAAGCTGTATTTGCTGGAGACCGAGGGAGGAGGTAAAAGGGAGGCTTAGGAGGATAGCTAGTGAGGGGGAGTACAGAGAAATGAGAGTAAAGGTGTAGGCAGGGCTGAAACAGAGGCCATGGAAGTTGAACTAAATTTGAGTGTAGACCAGGCCTAAGTGAGGAACAGGATAAGAAACTTGAACGTGATGCAGATGAAGAGAGGCAGCAGTGTGACGATCTGAGGCAGGCCAGTGACATGGTCCAAGTGGCTGGAAGGGGAAGCTGATCTGAGCAGTGGCATTTTGGATCAACTAGAAGGGGACCCAGAGCTTGTCAGTGAGCCTGATGAGTGAGGCTGAAGACGTAAGTTTTTGTGAGGTTTGCTGGCTGTTGTTAGATCGTGGGCTATTATGATTTTCTGTTCTATACAGGATGCTTTATTTGGCCATTGGGGTTTGCCATGGTGTTTGAGCCATGTTTGGAGGTTTGTAATATACAATTGCATTATTTGTATATGCATTATTGCTACATCTCACCACAGAGGAACAAATCAGTAACAGCAGCATTTGATTTAGTGCTGTTCACAGGTTGTGTGACCTATGTCAGAACTACCTAGGGGAGAGTAAGAACTGACCCTGTCTGTCACAGCTGTAGGCAGGAGAAGTGCATTAGTTCCATGTTTGGAGGGGATCTCCACCCTACCATTTGAGCCTTGAACAAACATCTGAAACCAGAAACACCAACTCTGAGGTTCCAAAGTTGGGTTTTTTTATGCTGCTCTGTCATCTTCTTTTGTCCTGTGTTCAGATGGCCTCACCAGGACATGACAAGAGCAAACAAAGCTGCTGTGGATCTGGGATACAAACTTTTGCAAAGAAAATAATTTAAAATGTTCCTTTTTGAAATTTTGCCCTGGCGGTCTCACCTTTAGGGGGGGTTTCCCTTATCTAAACAACCACAGTCCCCACCAATGCCAAACCACCCACCCATACAGTCGGATAACATCTCAGACACAGGCTGCTTTGGAAATGTAACAGACACAGGAGTCACTTCCCCTTATTCAATGTAGCGTAACTGAGCTCAACAAAAAGTACCAGCGCAACTGTAGAGTTGTGCCAGCTGCTTCAGGTCTCCCTGCTGCTAGACTAGCTCCCCTGCTGGTGTCTGGAGTGGGCGGAAATGGTACTGTGCTGAGATTTGGTGCGGGGGGAATGGTGCCGTGGGAGAAGAGGCACAGTCTGTATGTACCAGTGCCTTGGCACATGCAGACTCGTCTCTCCGTGTTGCTGTGTCTGGTGCACGAAGAAGGAAGTGTTCACTTAAGTGGCAGTTAAGTATATCTTCTGAAAATCAGCCCAGTTTTATTTAGATGCCCATCACATGATGTAAATACTTTAGATATTCTGTCTTGACACCTTTTCATTGTAATTTCTCTGTCCCTCAGTTTCCTTGTCTGTAAAATGAGGATAATATTTACCTACCTTAGGAAAGCTCTGAGATCCTCAGATGAAAGACGCTTCAGGAATGCATAATGTTACCATAGGAAAAAAAAATCCCTGCAGCATTATACCCAGGAGTGACACCGAGTATCAGCTGATGCTGCTACTAACATAAACCAAAGACCACATAGCAAAATGCTACAGTATCCTATTAATTCATATTTATTGTTCGCTAGTGTTTAAAATCTGCAGTGTTCTTGGGTAAGTGATAAAACATTGCAAACTAAAATAAAAAATATAATGAATTCATCTTTTATTCCAGATCTTAAACAGCAAAGGGACGCAGAGTAACAACACAATGGACTAAACTCCATTGCGGAGTGACAAAAGAGATTGAGAGAAGAAATGGAACAAGTATCTTGTGGATGTCATCAATGAGTGCTTGAGTTCTCCCTAACAAAAGTGTTTTGAAGATTCGTGTATTTGTTCTCAAGCTGCCAGCAATGCCCACTTTCATCTTTCAAGGACAGATGCCCTCTTTCTTCAATGTTGGTTATTTTGAAAATGGACAGTGAGTCAAGGAGCAAATCCGTGTGCATCCGTGCTTTTTTTTTATACTTTTGTTTTACAAGCAAGCAAACATGAAACATAGGAGCCAGGTTTATTTATGCCAATGTTTCCAGACATTAACTAACACAAGTGAATGTAGACAAATCAAAAACTAATCGACATGATATACAACTCTAACTGTAACATTATTTACATTCAAAAGAGAAGAGTATTCAGAGGGGCGACTCTCATTTTCTCAGCCTCCCTATCTGAAAGAAAAGGCCACAATGACACTGTCCATGCATAGATGAGCAACAGCTTTCCTGGCTCTTGTTTCTTCCAGAAAGCACCACCATCACCCTCCACCCCCACCACTAAGTTCTAATTTTTTTTTTGAATAGCAAAAGGTAGACACGCCTTCTAGCTCAGTGGACATGGTATCAACCCGGCTAGAGTAAATGGCACAGTGGTTCTCAAACTGTGGGTCAGGCCCAAAAGTGGGTCATGACCCTGTTTTAATGAGGTCGCCTTGAGGCGTTAGACTTGCTGGGCTCTGGGGCTGAAGCCAAAGTCTGAGTCCCACTGCCCAGGACGGGGGCTGAAGCCAAAGCCCAAGGGCTTCAGCCATGGGCAGCAGGGCTCAGGCTATAGCGCCCTCCCCCCATCCCCGCTGCCCGCCCAAAGGGGCAGGGCTCAGGCTTCCGTCCCTCTTCCTGGAGTTGTGTAGTAACTTTTGTTGTCAGAAGAGGGTCGCGATGCAATGAAGTTTGAGAACCCCTGCTACCCAAACAATGTATCCTCAGACTCTAAGGTAAGTCTCAAGAGCAATTGCGTCTGTGGCGCCCACAACTGTGTCAGAACAGCTGATCTAAAAGCATCAGCACAGACACCTCTTTCACTATCAGAAGGAGATTATCAACCAGTGAAACCAGTACAGTCTCTGTGCCAAACCCAGGTCTCAGATCTATGCAAGTCTGGGCTTTGATGTATGAAGTTAGGCACCCAAAAAATCTACATGCTTTAGAGCAGTTGTTCTCTAACTTTTTTTTTCATGGACCACTTGAAAATTGCTGTGGGTCTCAGTGGGCCACTTCATGATCTTTCCAAATGTTGTTTGTACCGTGAGCTAACTATTGTAAAGAGCTTTGGATTAAAAAAAACCTTAATAATTAACATTTTTTTGTTCTACAAATAAAAGCACACAACTCATATTTTAATATTTTAATAGTCTTACCTTTCTAATGTGATGGATGTGCCCTCGCTCCCCCGCCGCAGCAGCCCCTGAGCTGGGGCTGGGAAGGAGGGCCGTCTCTCCCCAGCAGCTGCAGTTCTGGAGCTGGGGAAAGTTGCCTCTTTCTCTGGCCGCCACAGCCCTGCATGTCCCAAATTCCCCCCACCCACTCTTCTCACCCCACTGCCCCCTCCCACCTACCCCCTATTCCCCCCAAGGCCACCACCTCACCTTACATGTGATCCAGGCACCTAATTAGTGGAGCCACACCTGCGCAGCTCCACTAATTGGGTGGCTGGCCTTTCATTTACTCATGTGTGGCTGCCCAGGCGTGCACCTTGGAGGGAACTGTCCATGGACCACCTGAATGGAGCTCGCGGACCAATGGTGGTCCACGGACCCCAGTTTGAGAACCTCTGCTTTAGGGGATTCTTGCATCCACGTGACTTACCACAGGTCCCACAGCAAATTGGTGGCAGAGCTGGAAACAGAACCCACATCTTCTGATCCATACGTTAGCACGCTAATACTGTACCATGTTTCTTCCTTACCCATTGACTATTTTTAGCGTGCTTTCATTATTTTAATAAGGGGCTTCCTCGGAAACATCCCCTTGAGCTTATGATCTACAGTGTGCAGGTGGAATGTCAATATTTGAGAATGGAAAATGGATGGTCAAAAATTGAGAATGGAAAATTGAATGTTGAAAATCAAGAGTGGAAAATGGACTGTCCAAAATTGAGTGTTATAAATGGAGAAAGAACAATCAAATGTGAAAAATTGAGTGTGGAAAATCAAAAATATTAAATGTCAAAAATGGGAGTATGTAAAATTGAATACAAAAACCGAAGTGTCAAAAATGAAGAATGTAAATTTGCACGTCAAAAGTTGAGAATGAAAAGTTGTCAAAAATACGCAGTGGAAAATTGAGTGGCAAATTATGAATGAAAAATTGCACTGTAGGGGAGAGCTCGCCATTTGGACATTTTATGGCTGGACTTTCTAACTCCGGGGAAGGCCTTTGCCAGCTAGGTAGAAAGTGCCATTTAAAAACTGAGTAGCACCCCAAGTTTGGCTGCATAGGAATGCATTCTGGCAAGCTCTCACACCATCCAAAGCCTGAATTTGGCCAGTATACCTGGAGGCATGGTGCTTTGTCTTTGCAACGAAAAGTGTGTCAGATGTACTACGTACTATTTCAAGTCATGTGAATGCTCACACCCCAGCTGAGGGCTTGTTGAAATGCAGTGGATTTGATTTACATGTGTACCATACAGACATGCCCGTACAGCAGTGGATGAGTTTTATGTGTGTACCACACAGACATTGCTTGCTTTTGGGAAGCAGTTGAGAACGGCTTTTTAGGCATTTGGAAATCGGATGCAATCTCTCAGTTGATAGTTTGACAGACACTTTTCACAACAGGCACAAGTTTGGGCAAGTAATAAAACACATCGCTTCCCAAGCTGGAACCGTACAGCGTCTGCAAAGGAACATCTTCGCTTTTACTGGAGAACTCTCTGGAGACCAATCAAAGGTGCCTGAATTTTCAGTCCCCCAGTCTCAACACCTGCAGGATTTGAACTCGGGTCATCTGAGCCTGTGGGTGAGAACCATACTACCAGGTCCTCCAGGCACTTGCAGGCTCTGTATACCTGAGAGGAAGGCTTTTGCTAGTTTCATACAAACTTTGCCAGCATCCAAAGTTTCACAAATTATCCAGTTTTCTGCCATGCTCTCACACCCCATAACCTGACCCAGACGCAAATACCACAGTGTGCATCCATTTTTCATTTGCAAGGAAAAGCATTGGACGATGTATTACGTCACAGAGATGGTAATCACGTGAGTACTCTCATCCCAGCGGAGAGCTTGATGAAATGCAGTGGATTTCATTTATATGTGTACTGCACAGACACACCTCTAGAGCAGTGGATGAGTTTTACACGTCTAGCACAGAGAGAGGCATCACCACCTCTCCCACCTCCAGCTGAATCCCAAACATCAGCTGAGATGAAACGGGCTCAGACTTTAATAACAATTCCAGCCCATCTCAGCTAACTTCTTCTCTTTTCCCCAGAAGGATAGTTATTACTGCGGTTTTTTTCTTCTAAAATCCCTTTCCAGCTAAAGGGAAAGGGAACAAAGGACGTTGTTAGAATTAAAGCCTTATTTAAAATTACATTTTAAAGTTACATTTCAAATGCTTTGTTGCTTTTTTCCTTCTTTTTATCTTTAATAAAAGGCTACAAGAATTGTTAATGACGTGTTTGCCGTGGTATGAAGCAGACTGAGGTCTCTGTTTATAAAATCCCAAACCTAGTTTAACATTGTTTAATGTTGGACAGTGACTGGGTTATGTTAACATCTTTGGGCCCAATATTCCATCTCAACTAATACAGCAAGTTCTGCAGACAACAGCCACTACCCAGCCCTTATCACCGTCCATCCTGTGCACTGAATGAGTCAGGGTTTCCTGTGGAAAAAAGAGCTGGTCCTGCAATTAAGACAATCATAATGCACACAAACAAGGGGGCTGAATTAAAGTTTCACAGGCAGTCTCAGTGCTGGCATTTCCTACCTTCGGATTTTTTGACAGCGCAACCTGAGCGCTCTTGTAATGTAGGTGTCTTTAGGATGTCATTTCTGAAGTTTTTCCAGAAAACAAATTCCATCACATGGAAACATATTGACCCCCAGTTTGGGTCATCAGGGGGCTTCAGACCTTTAGGACCACAACATAGACCTTGCCCACTTAAGCTGTCAGCGTATCTGGTAGCAGCAGTAGGCTGAGTGCACAGATCAGGCACTAGAGGAGGATGAGCTACCCACATTGCCAGCGAGTTTCACAACTATTTGCTGACAGCAGAGGATGGCAGAGACTCAGGACTATTGGGTTCTGTTCCAGGTTCTGTAGGGCAGTGTGCTCAAGAGGTTATAGACCCTTCTGCCCCTGTCTCCCTTACACCCCTGAAGTCTGTCTCTATTCCCCTATCCTTCCCACCACCTGGCTCCTGCCCCTAACCAGCCTGAGGCAGACACCCAGTATGGAAAATTTCAGCTTGATGTTAAAGGTTGTTAAAATTATAAGCAACTGAAAACAGGGTCTTTTAGTTATGGCTATGATTCTCTCACAGGTATTTTTAGTAAAAGTCAATAAACAAAAATCCACTGAAGCCTGGGACCTCACCCTGACTTTTACTAAAATATCCTGCGGAGGGGGCAAACAGTGCTGCTGGGGCTTGCAGCTGCTTCTGTGGAAGGGACTGACTATGGCTGCTGCAGCCCCAGAGGGGCTGACCCAACCCCAGCGGCTGCTCTGGCAGGCCGGGGACCGCTGTTCTGGCTGCCCTTGGGAACAACTGACTGGCAGACAGCCCGCGGCATGGAACAGCTGACTGGCAGAAGCCCCTGGACCACGGGAACAACTGACCTGCGGCACCCTGGCTGGCCGCCGATCAGCCGTTCCTGGGGCTGGCAACTGCTCCAGCCCTGCCCCAGAAGAAATCACAGAGGTCCCAGAAAGTCATGGAATCTGTGACAGAATCGTAGCCTTGCTTATAATGAAGAGTGTCAGGCACCTTTTACTACAGGCATCGCTACCTGCACTGCTTATATAACAGACAATGAGGCAGCATAGTCCAACGACAAGGGCACTGGAGTGGGAATCAGGAGAGATGAATTCTGTTCCTGGTTCTGTCCCTCACAGGCTTCTGTTTTCCTCCTCCCTCTGTCTGTCTTGTCTGTTGAGACAGTAAGCTCTTTGGGGACAGTGACTGTCTCTTTCTGTGTGTCTGTACATCACCCAGCATGTTGGGACCTCTTGATGCTACTGTACTATATACTGATCTTCATCCATTTTTATCCTGTTCTTTTATAATGTCATTAATTAGACCACATGTTGTGTTTCTTCAGTTGTCATATTTAAATGGTATTCTCAGATTTAGATCAAAGTGCAGTTTAAATCCCGTGCCAGGCTCCATTGTTGTTCTCCATACCAGAGTCGTCATAATGATTTTTTGTTCTCTCTCATAAGAGAGTTTGTGAACTTGGGCCATATTTGAGAGTATCTTCCCATACTAGTTCTTTTCTTGTATGTCACCTGTTCCGTTTTTTTCTCATCAGGTGCATAGCAACTCCTTATTTGGTTGTTAACAGAGAGAGAGATACAAAGGCTCCAACATGCAAATATTTTCCAGCCATCATGGTTAGTATACGAAGTGAGCTCTAGCTCACGAAAGCTTATGCTCAAATAAATTTGTTAGTCTCTAAGGTGCCACAAGTACTCCTTTTCTTTTTGCAAATACAGACTAACACGGCTGCTACTCTGAAACGTAGCTCTGGTGTGGCTGGTATTTCAATACCTGTCATTTTTTGTTAATGTGGCAAATATCTTGGTCATGATTTTCAAAAGTGACTAGTGATTCTGGGTGCCTTGAGATTTGGGTGCTCAGGTTGAGACCCTTTAAAAGGGCTCAGAGTAGCAGCCGTGTTAGTCGGTATCCGCAAAAAGAACAGGAGGACTTGTGGCACCTTAGAGACTAACAAATTTATTAGAGCATCAGCTTTTGTGAGCTACAGCTCACTTCATCGGCTGCATTCAGTGCTGGAGTTCCAGAAACTGCTGAGCATCAACCCTCTGAAAATTGAGCCCCTTTAAGGTGTTTCAAGCTGAGTGCCCAAAATCACTAGTCAGTTTTGAAATTCTTGGTCATATTTGTGGTTATGTTTGCATTGCATATCCGTGGAAAGATGTATCCACCTGCATATAGCATTTGGGACTGTATTTAGAGTTTCCTCCACTGATTTTTGCCAGTTTCCTTAGTATCATGTACACTTGATGTTTTATAGCATATGATCACATGACATGCATTGATGAAGATGGGGAAACTAACACACAGAGAGGTGATGTGACTTGCCCAAGGTCGTGCAATGAACGAGCCAAGAACGGAATTGATCTCTCATCATGACTTCCTATCTAGTGCC